ATTCATATAAGTTTAGAATCTTACAGATTTAGATAAATGGCAGGAATTTGGAATTCTTGCATTTGTGGTAAGGATTTCGGATTGTGAATGAGTATCACTGGAATTATGTTCAATCGATCTATTTCACAGAGTAAGGATCACAGACAAACTAAGTGTGCATACTTGGTGTATAGCATAACTAATGTTTGGACAAACTTAGTGTGCATATTGGTGTATGGCATGACTAGTGTTTAGAAAAACATAATGTACATGCTTGGAGCATGGGACAACAATTTTTTTTAATTGAAGTATAAATTTGATAGTTTGAAACAGTATGCAATGAATGATGGGTAATCAATATGGTGATAAATAAAAGATGTTTTATTTATATTCATAATTTCTAAGACCATATTGGATTCGATTATTCTCGTGTTTCATTTTGCATGTTTTGACTTCTAGAATAATTATGTTTGGTATATCATACTATTCGAATTATCCATAGTCGGTCATATGTTGGAAGTAGGTGTGAATCAAGACTGTCATGAGCTGGTTGTAGAGGTCTAAGATGTTGGACATGGCTACAACACTCATGAGTGCTCATAAGTTTTATGTATTGGAGTGAATCCATGCTCACTGGTATCACTTCATGGAATTTATCTCGAGTGATCGTGAGACGGTAATATCATATAAGTCTTCAAACCTAGAGATATGACTTGTTGCCTATGAGTTGGTTATACATTGATTGTACGAAAACATATTGGTAACTCCATGTTATAAAACGTGCCATTGTGTATGATTCAAGAAGTAGTAGAACAAGCATATGAGTAAAAGTTTATTTGTTCCTTATTGGATTAGAAGCGATATCTGGTCCCCTCGATGATTTTGTGTTGACCCATGTATCGGGTCCGGTCAGAACTAAGTTGATTTGTTCAATTAAGTTCTATGTCAAACAAATGGGAAATTCAGAAATAAACTATTGGAAAATAAGTAAGACATTGTTCCATGTATTTGTTCGGCTGATATCTAGAATAGAGGATTATATGATCACTTATCTAAAATGGAGTATCATCATCTTCTTAGTTCCGCGAGACCTTAAAAGAGCTACGATTGCTGATCGGTTCCTGAAGTTATTCTTGCAAATATAGTTCTTAGACTTATCCAAGTGGGAAACTGTTGGATTAGGTCTCTAAGTCCATAACTATTTACGGCATCTACTTGACCCGGTTGCCATGATCCATTTGGGTTGCATGACATTGCAACACTTGGATAGATTAAATGAGAGAAAGCACACTTAAGGATTATTAATATATTATAAGTTCTAACATATTAATAATATTATTTAACTAGTATTGATCATAGAATTGATTTGAAATTAATTAAGTGATCAAAAAGAGATTAATTAAATATATGGGGTTGATTGTGTAAATAATATATTCTTATATAGTCGGTTAATGATCCATGGTTTGTATGGGTTGGGCTAAAACCCATAAGGTACTCCATGGGTAATCCATGGAAGTTACAAACCCATGGATCATGGAATATGGAAAGCTATGACAATTAGGGTTTACATGGTGTAATGTCACAACTATATAAATAACTCCATGCAAGCGAAATTGGCACTATGATAACTACTTGTACAAGTTAGAGGGCAAGCCAATTTTAAGGTGTAAGTGAACTTCTATCAAGTCTATTCCAAGAGTTTTAGAGTTGTGTGAGACATTTGAGGCATAACACTTAAGGTGCTAGGCTCATAAGGTTCTCAAGGAATCCAAACTACAAAATGTATGTTTTTCTTCTAACATTTATGTTTAAAAGTTCCCCATGCTATGTTAGATAGTGGAAGAACCTTGGAAAATAATTTTTGCATGTATCTTAGTCAAACATAGATAGAAGATGTTTAGGGTTGCATGTACACCTTAGGAGTATTAGAATACTCAAAACCCAACAGTTATATGTTGGAAGTAGATATCAATCAAGACTCTCATGATTTGGCTTGTAGATGTGTAAGTTGTTGGACATAGCAAGAGTTGTTACAAAACTCTTGTGCGCTCATATGTTCTAAGTATTGGATTCAACCCACACTCACTGGTATCAATTCATGGAATTTATCTCGAGTGATCGTGACACGGTAATATCATATAAGTCTTCAAACCTAGAGATTTGACTTGTTGCCTATGAGTTGGTTATACATTGATTGTATGAGAACGCATTGGTAACTCGATGTTATAAAACGTGCCTTTGGGTATGATTCAAAAAGTAGTAGAATAAGCATATGAGTAAAAGTTTATTTGTTCCTTATTGGATTAGAAGCGATATATGGGTGCCTCGATGATTTTTTGTTGAACCATCTACCGGGCATGATTAGAACTAAGTTGATGTGTTCAATTAAGTTCTATGTCAAACAAATCTGAAATCGGGAAACAAACTGTTGGACAATAAGTAAGACATTGCTCCATGTACTTTTCCAACTGATATCTACAATAGAGGATTATATGATCACTTATCTTAAATGGCTTATCATCATCCTCTCATTTCCACGAGACCTTGAAAGACCTACGACTTCTGATCGGTTCCTGAAGTCATTCTTGCAAGTATAGTTATTAGACTTATCCAAGTAGGAGACTGTTGGATTAGGTGTCTAAGTTCATAATTATTTTTGGAATGTACTTGACCCGATTAACATGGTCCATTTGAGTTGCTTGGCATTGCAACACTTGGATAGACTTAATGGAGAAATGACACTTAAGGATTATTAATATATAATAAGTTCTAACATTTAAATAATATTATTTAAATAGTATTGATCAAAGAATAAATTTGGAATTAATTAAGTGATCAAAAATTGACTAATTAAATATATGGGGTTGATTGTGTAAATTATCTATTTTTGTATAGTGGGTAATGATCCATGGTTTGTATGAATTGGGCTAAAACCCATAAGGTGCTTCATGGATAATCCATGGAGGTTACAAACCCATGGATCATGGAATATGGAAAGCCATGATAATTAGGGTTTACCTGGAGGATACAACTATATAAATACCCCTAGACTAGCAAAATTGGCACTTGTAGAAGCAAGAAAGAAGGCTAGCCGATTTTGAGGTGTTAGTGAACTTCTATCAAGCTTATTCCAAGTGTTGTGGTGTTGTGTGAGACATTTTAGACATCATACTTGAGGTGCTAGGCTCACAAGGTTCTCAAGGAATCCAAACAACAAAAAGGTATGCTCTTCTTCTAGAATTTATGTTTAAATGTTCCCCATGCTATGCGAAATAAGTTAAGAACCTTGGAAAACAAATTTGCATGTATCTTGGTAAAACATAGATCCAAGATTTCTAGGGTTGCATTTACACCTTAGGAGTGTTAAAATGCTCAAAACCTTTCAGTTAGAACATGTAAAAGAGGTCAATGTAGGTGGCTACTTGGACATGTTCGTACATCGATTAGGAATGATAACTAAGCATTTCTTATACGGGTGTGGATACCTTCCAACAAGAACATCATGGTTCACCGTGCATAGGCGAGAGCAATTCCAACATAGGTGACCCACTGGGAAGTTTTCATGTCGGTGACTCAAAGCGGAGAATATTGTGATATACTACAACGGAATGTTATAATACTTGATGTACATCGTTCACGATCTACGTTCGTATAAAAATAAACTTAAGAAAACAATCTTCACAAAGATAACTAAATTTGGGCAACAACACAGAAAAAGTATTGACCTAATTGATTAGAAATGATTAAACATGGATCTAATATAACATTCAAAAATTACAATGGCATATTTAATTAAATTTGACTACTCAATTTAAAGCAATATAGTTTCTTTTCTGATGGAGTTGTAGTTATGATTTATAATTGTAATGTTTCACAACAAACTTTAGCGTGTTCTATATAAAAAATTTAATTATAAATTCTTATTTAGAAATTTAAATTAGTATAGGCAATCCCTTTGGTAACACTTGTTTAATTAAATTGTAAATAGTTGTATCTGCCTCGTATACATATTTAGAGACTTACATTTTTTCTATACTGATGATAATTTAAGTTGTTTACCATATTCATAAAATATCCATATAACCGGTTAGTATAGGTTTCCGACCAAATATGAATTTTCTTGTTATCTTCTCTAGCTAAATGAATTTGTTGGTGATGAACTAAAAAACCTAAATATATCATGTTGATCTTCATCTTGCATCTTGCTATGGAACACTAAAACATAATGAACTATTTTTTGGGGATGAGCAAAGATATATGGATCTTCGTCTTCAAGAAATATTGATTATCCAATATGGGATGAATGCGATTTGCATGTATGTGTGTGTGAACTCAAGAAGTAAGAAATGTTACATCTTGTTAATGTGTGTGTGAACTTGATTCCAATATTTTTCATGTATTTGTGAGCTAAAGAACTAAAAAAATCATTTTCTTCACTAGAAATACTCTTTAGATCTTGCCCAGAACCCATAAATCTCGTAAATCTTATCTAGAACTCAAAGCGAATATCTGAAAATGATTTTTGAAAATTTTTATTTTAAAATAAAATAAAATTTATAATATGTGATCAACAAACGCTTTAAGTCGAACTAAAAATCGAAATGTGAAATATATGATGAGCAACCTATAGCACTCAAAATCCATGATGCACACGCTCATTGAAATCTAAAATCTAAAATCTTTGATGATTTTACTTAAGAAGGCAAAAAAGTTGTCTAATTTTGTAACATGTTTTTACAGGTTTCTCATTTATCGTAACAATATTAAAATAATATAAGTATTATTAACATTTTTAAGTAACAAAAAACAAATAACAAAATGTCGAATGGTTTTGTGTAATAACATATGTTATTAAATATAAAAATAATAAGATCAGTGTTTAATTTTAAAATGCAAAGCTCCATAAATTTAATTCTATCTTAATCATCTTATTAAATTAGGGACCACATCAATCTATATATATACATGTGATATTCACCTATCTAAAGTTATAACTAGAAGATTAATAAAAAGACTATATCATGGCTCTTATAACTATTGTTGTTTTATCTTTCGTGTTTTTCATTTATACAATTGAAAGTGTTTCTGGAAGAAAACTTTTGGGAGAGGAGAAGACAACCACTGGATATGGGGAGGGGTTAAGCAAGATTAGAGGAAGTTTTGGGTGTGAAGTTGGAGAAGGAACTTGTGGTGAGATTAGAGGGAAAAATGTGTTGGATGGTGGTATTGCAGGAAACAAAGGGTTAGATGATGTCAGCAGAGGACAAGGAGGCTTCAATTTTGATATAATTTTTGGACCTCGCACTATAAATGAAACCAACTTTGAAGAAATATCTCTCGTTGCAGACTCAAATAATAACGGAGCAATAACAACCGGGGGAGATATAAGTGGAGATGGAGTTGCAGCAGCAGCTGGAATTGGAGCAGGAGCTGGAGTTGGATCTTTTGGAAAAGGAAACTTAGCCGGACTCGGAGCTGGGGCTGGAAGCGGAGCTGGAGCTGGAGCTGGATCTGGAGATGGAAATGGAGCTGGAGCAGGAGCTGGAGTAGGAGCTGGAGGAGGGGATAGGGCTGGGGCTGGAGTTGGAAATGGAGCTGGAGGTGGAGCCGGATCATCTAGACCCGAACTGGAGGTGTAATTCCTCCCTACATTGCAGCTTCTCCTGGAGCTTCACCTCCTCCTGAATTTGGATATATTTCTACTGCCGACTTCACATGGTATTGAATATATATGCTCTATATCTCTTTATGTATTATGTATCCATCAAAACTCAATAAAATAATACGAAAATGCATGTTTTGTATCTCCTAACGTCATGTTTTGATTACATTCATATGAAGGGGTGGGAGATTACATACCCTTAATTAGCCCTATCGAAAATAACCGATACCCGAATTATCCGCCCGGTTTTTTCTTCAAGTATCGGGTAAATTTTTTTGGATAATAGGGTAACCCGATTTTTTTCGGGTCGAGGAAAGGGTACATTTTTTGGGTTTCGGGTATACCCAAATTACCTGAATTATTTTAAAAATTATTTTTTTTGTAGAGCTTGTACTATATAGTAGGTATTTGATCACGCTTAAACTAACTATCATTATTGTAAAATATGAATCTATTTATTATGACAATATGACACTAATAATATTAAAAATAATTATTTATATATCATCATGTTCTTTAAACTTAACTGTTTTCTAGATTATAGTTTTTATTGCAACTAACAAACTCATTATCTTGATGAAATTTCAACACATGGTAAAATTTATGGCGATAATTATCTTAAAATTTTTAAACTTTTAAATTAAGATCTTTAAGTATTTGTTTTTTAACATCTTATATGATTAGATTAAGCTGTGAAAAAATTACTTGATATCTCAGGTATTATTCACAAAAAAATCTCAATGTGAAAGCATAAGTAATTTCGTTTATGTCTTGTTTGTTTATATAAAGAAAACTAATAAAGTATGACATATTTATTTCATTAAATTTATTTTTAGGTGAAATTCAAAAAAAAACATTATATATTTCGGGTAATACTCGAATTATCCAAACCCGACCCGATACCCGAATTACCCGAATTTAGTTTGGGTAGGGTATCGAATATTTTTTCTAACACGGAAAACTCGAATTACCCGACCCGAATTACCCGAAACCCGAAAGAATTACCTGATCAACACCCCTATCCTTAATCAAGTTTGCAAGCCCATCAACTAGGATTTTTTCATTAAATTAATCGAATTCAATCAAACTTTTCGTATTATTTTTTTATATAATTAAAAATAAACAATGAATATGATAATTCTCAAAACATTTGAAAGGAATAAGACACCACAAAAATTGAAAATTAAAATCTCAAAACACTTCAAAGTCCTAATTAGATAGAAATTAGATCTTTATTAAAAACAAAATTTAAAATTATTAACTACTAGATATGAAAAAAAAGTGAAGTCTAGAACATATTAAAAATGAAAATCGTATGTATCTAATCTCCTGAACAATCATTGGCCGTGGGGGACACCACTCTTATTGTTCTCCGCATCTCATGTCTGTTTCTTCCATCTCAACATCTCCTTGTAGTTGCCATCACTCGAGATCTTGGCCTCGTCTTTCACTTTTATGGCTTTTTTTTTCATGTTCTACTATGGTGAGTTATTTAGATTGTAAAAATTGCACATGATTGACAATTATATTTATGTATCTTTATTGCCTTTTGAATGTTTTAGTTTTTATCTTACCTTGATAGTGTTTAGGATTCTTACTTTGATCCAAGTATAAAAACTCTCATGTATTTGGTTGAAACCTACCACCACCACCAAGGACCATCATTAATGTTTCCTCATAGTATTTTCTCACAACCTCTGATCATCCAAGACTAAATTTTGTTTGAGGAAACCTTCTCCACCACGGAAACTATAGAGACCGAAAGAATGAGATCGTAAATTTCTTATTGGCCAAGAATAAGGTTGGTTTTATCAACAACTCCTTAGCTATATTGCAAGAGGGATTGTCTGATCTTATCAACCGGAAAAGATGCAATGCCATGATGAGAGGGTGACTTGACAAAGTGCTATGGAGAAAGAAATTATAGGTAATGTTAAATAAGAAGTCACCACTCGTAATATATGGATGGCATTAGAAGAAAGATTTAGGAGAGAGAACGCCATGAGAGCCCCTGAATTAAGAAGAGGGATAACTATGATTCAAAAAGAAAGTATGACAATCTCACCCTATTACACGAAGCTAAAAGGATTTTGGAATGCATATATGGTTTTCTAATGTGGCTTAATAAAGAACATGGAGCTTTGAGGACACAGATTGTAATTAACAATTTATTTCCCATGTTAAGCAATGTGTATCATCATCTAAGTCAAGACGTATAACAAAAGAAAATTTGCAAGTCTAGGAATTACATGGGAGAAGTCGAACCATTCCAGATTAGCAATAAAATTGGATTACGAATTGTTTTGAATGGAAAATTCTCGAATAACTTCAACAATAAAGAAGAAAACAACTAGACTGGAAGGAATAATGACAGATGGTGCTCTCACTATCAGAAATCAGAACATAAATTTGATGGGTGTTTCGAGCTTGATGGTTATCCTGATTGGTGGCCCATGAAATCAACCAACTCCAAGCACTAATCAAGAAAACCCAAACAACAAAAGTCATGCATTATTACCGTTAATGGAGATGTTTAGGTGTTGTTTGTTTTTTCGAAGCAAAAATTCAAAAAGTCTGCAGAGCACCTCTGCAAACCTCTACCGCAGAAGAGGTGGACCAAACGGCTACAGACTGTAATAAGAAGCATGTTTGTTTTTGTTAACATCTGCAGACTGCTGCAGACATTAAAAAATTAAAATAATTTAATTTAATAAACCGAAAATTGTTTTTAAACACAGAAAATTTAATAATTGTAGTCTTAAAACATTGAAATAATAAAATATAATATGTTATATGTTTTGTTACAATCTGTTTTTTCCATTTTATTTTTTATTTCATAATTAAAACAAAATAATAGACACTTATTTAAAAAGAAAAATAAAAAATGAAATTCTAGACACTTATTTAAAAAACAATATTAAAATTAATTAACTTATGTAAATTAAATGGGATAAAAGAATTAAAGGGATATAAATTTAATGTATTAAAATTTGAAGGGATGAAAATAGAATTTAATATATAAGTAAAGGACCATAAATGTAATATTAAATATACTTTATGGAGGACCATGACAAAATGTAATATTAAACACGTTCAATTTTTGGAAAAAAAAAAAAAAAGGCATCCATGGTTTTTTGGGATTGAATTTTTTTAGGTTTAGGTTTGAAGGGGTGGGAAGAGGTAGGAAGAGGTATAACAAGTGCTTCCCCAAGAAGCACACAGGTAGACGTTTTAAGCCCCGAAGACTTCCGAAAAACAAACTGCTGCGGGACAAAAAGTGATGTGCGTGTGTTGCGCCGCGCAACAATAAGAGTTTTGAATAGGTTTTTAAGAAAAACAAACAGCACTTACATGATAAGATTATGAATGATTGTTTCTAACTTTTGAGATTAACAAAGTCGAGTGAGTAAAGGACCAATCCTACAACAAACATAACTAGTAAGTTTGAAAGACAAGATGAATAGATCATTGAATCAGTTGCTAGTGATCATATAACCAATCTTACAAAGTGGTCAAAAGCTATGATCGACATGGAGAACACCACTTATGTCAATGTACCTAACGTAAAATCAGTGACAGTTAAAAGAGTTGGTGATATAAAAGTATCAAATTTTATATTGAAAAACTCTTGAATGTGCCTAGCTTTAATTGCGATCTAATTTTAGTTAGCAAGATAAATCATGGTTTTAGTTTTTCATTAACGTTTCAGCCTAATCTATGCTACATACATGACTTATGTTTGAACATCCTTATTAGGATTGACAAGGAATGTGATGGACTTTAATATTTAGAGTAGGTTGAAAGAAAGAAAGGGGAAATGACGGCTCTAATAAAGTATGATGTTTGGCATAGAATATTTGGATTCATTTTAGAGGAATATTGGTATTTGTAGTCAATTTCATGATTCTTATATTCGGGCAAAACAAAGTAGAATTCCTTTTCTAATATGTTTTTCCATAACACTAAAATATATTGATTTGCTGGACGTTGATATGTGGGGTCGATATAAGGATGATTGTCTTGATGGTGCCTGTTATTTGATGTTGAATGTTCATGACTATAGTTTTGGGGTGCTGCTGTATTTGATGAAACACAAATCTAATACTGATCAATTGTTAATCTCTTTTTATAAAATGGTTGAAAAGTTCATTAAAGATCTAGGGCTTCACGTACCATTCAAGAGCCCATCCAGATTTCTTATGACTAGGAGAGCTCTGTTACGCAAGTATTATTACCAAAGTAATATCTAAGCACCTAGAACATTCTAGGGAGATTCCTTTATATTAAGATATCAGTGAAGTAGAAAATGTTAGCATTTATAAATTTTATACAAATCAAAATTTATATATATATATATATATATATATATATATATATATATATATATATATATATATATATATATATAATCAAGCCCAATTTATTAGTAAGCATGAAAGGTATGCTATAGTTGTAGGACTTCGTTATTCTAGTTATTGCGTTTGATTCGAACTTAGTATTTGGATATTAGAACAATGTAAAAAACAACTATTGTAACGTTTCAATATATCATATATGACCTTTTCTCTAGATACTTGTTGTGTTATATGTTAGCATGTTTAAGCATTGAATAATCTAGTTATTCTAAATTTTCTTAGTCGTTCATAGTTATGGGAGTAACTATGACATAAGACTAATATGAACAAGATTGGTTGATTTTCATGGTTATGAAAATAGAAAACAGTTGAAACTAATTTCATATCTACGTGTTGGAGAAGAATTATTAGACAATACCCGCATCTAGAGCACTTCATGGATCATTGTCATGAGTGATACTTGAAAAAAGGTAGTATCTTTGTATATTTTGACCTTAGATGCATATTTAGGACTTGAGTGTGGGGATTAATGTTTTTTTATATGGTTAACCTTTGTTCTCTAAAAAAGATGTTATAAAGGATATCATTATATATAACATGAAGTACATGAGAGGTTTATATA